TCATAATAATTACTCAGACAGCACAACTCAGGACTTAACAAATTGTAACAAAAGCACAGAAGTGCTTCACATTAAAAAAAAAAAAAAGACTGTGTTGCCTAGGTGTGACCCCTAGCATGCTGTTCAGTCTGAACTGTATGAGGGCACCTTAAACTTGGTAGACCTTGATCAAGCAAAGAACTTCTGTTGTAGGAAATACAAAGATGGGATAGACAGAGTTTTGGTCTTCAAGGTGCTCATAACACAACAGAGTTGTCCCTGGTTAATGTCTGTACTTTTTTTAAACAGGGCTTTCAAAGAAAACATTCTTATCTGTTAAGTTATCCACTTAACAGATGACTGTCAAGTGTCATTTAGGTACTAAGCACCACTCTGACATTACAGAATGCAAACAGGTCAAAAGCGCAGTTCCTGGCCTCCAGGAGCTTGTTACTGTCATCCTCATTTTTATGATTTACTTTACTTAATTCTATGCTTACTGTGTCCCAGGGCCCACTAGGACTTTGTAACTGTCTTTATATATATTTTTATTGGTATTTAATATGTGCCAGATACTTTAAGTCCATGGTGAGGAAAGAAGTTTTTTAAAAGTGGGTAGGATGTCAGGTAAGCCATGCAGAGCGAGTAGAAGTTTGCCAGGGAAGGAGGCAGAAGGGCAGTGTTTGGTGGGTGGAACATCTTTGAAGATTACATTTGGCAGAAAGGACAGTGGTGCAAAGGCTAAGATGTGCCAGTGAACTTTGCAGGATCTATGAGTTTCATGTTGTTGGCGCAAAAAGGATGCTGTAGGCATGGTTGGGAACGAGGTGAGTACCTAGCTCAGGCACGCTTCTGAAAGCCTTTCTAGTATTATAGAAAGGAGGAGGTCTGCTGTAGACCTTGGGAAATTTGTCAGAATGCTTTTAGCTGCAAATAATAATGAGACCTAAGTAACAGTGGCTACAGCAACAGGAGTCAGGATTGTTTAGAAGGTTCAGTGATGTCATCAGGATCCCAGATGCTGTCCCTCCTTCAGCTGTGAGGCTGCTGGTGTTTGATGTCGCCTTTCCTGGTCTGCTGATTAGCAGCAGCTCCAAGCATCATCATCTCACATGACAGTATCCGCAGGCTAGGAGGGCTGCTTCTCTCTGCATGTTTTCTGTTAACTAGGAAGAAAACAGAGACGCTTACAGTAGACTTCCCCTAGCATCTTATTGCCTGGGTTACATCACATGCTCATTCCTAAACCAGCCGTTGGGAAAGGAGATGTAGTTACTGTGATGACTGTGATTTCTTTTTTTGCAGCTAAGGAGAGTTTACCTTCTTCGCATACTGGAGCAGGGAATATCCAAGAAAAGTTGCAGTTGTCCGGCAAGGATAACGAAGAAGAAATGGTTGTCGAGTTGGGAACCAGCAATGGCAGCTGCATGGATTCACTGAAGAAAGTTGAGCAGAAGAGTAAGAAGATTCAATTTGAGTCTTAGGGTTTCCTGGTTATGACATAAAGCAGGGATGCACAAGCTTTTTCTATAAAGGGCCAGAGAGTCAGTATTTGAGGCCATGTGATGTCTGTCATGTCTACTCACGTCTGCCATTGCAGTGTGAAAGCAGCCCTAGACCGTATGTGAGCGAATAGGGATGACTGTGCCCAGATAACACGAGGTTGACAAAGCCAAATGGCAGGGTGGGTTTGTCCCATGGGTGTCATCCAGAAATATCATGCTGTGTAAGTTTGACGTTGTCAGTTTATGATATTGATTCTACTAATGATTATCATTTTCTTTGTGAGTCTCAGAAAGTTTGGGATTTTGGTCCTTGTAAACAGCAGTTCACGTCAAGATATCAAATTTGGACAAACACCTTTTTTTTTTTGATAAATATAAAGGAGGGGAAGTGGTTTTTATGCATTAATTACCCACCAGGATTATACTCAATATTCACTCAAGTGTGTAGTCTCCAGGTGTGTTCCCAAAGGAGTACTTTTTAACAAAACATTGGTCTTATACTTTTAATATTCTGTATTTTTCTATTGCTGATATAAAATCTATTTTATTTTTTCTTTAATAGCGGATTTAGTGGTTGAGGTTTCACCGAGTAATGAAGATATCTCTGTCATCAGGTAGGATTTTATGGATTTTTAAAAATTACATGTTGACTAAGGGAACACAGAGAAAAGAAACAAGGCTTGTTGAGTGTCCTACTCTGGGTTAGACACCATGTTGTGTACTTGACGTTTGTTACCTCATACAGTCACCACAACAGCTTTGCAGAGTAGCTGTGCTGTTACAGCTTACTGTTAATTAGGCAACTGTAGTTTAAGGAGGTTGACTAGTTGACCCATGATTCCATGGTTAACAAGTAGTTAACCTGTGACTTAACCATCAGGCAGCCTGGCTCCCAAATCTGCTTTCTTATCCCTCAGCATAGACTTCTGTGACTTTTGTTTGTTTAAAGAAATGAACTCACTCATTTTTGATGTGTATTTTTGATCCAAAGTATTTCACCCAAACATGATATTGATGATGCACGGCCTCCATCAGATGATGACTTAGATCTTGCTCCTAAGGTAAAGTGTTCTCTTGTGAAATTAATTTTTCTGCTCTGAATTTAGTTTTGTGTAGTATTTACTCTTAAAATTTAGCAGTGGTCTGCCTATCATTGTTTTATGTTTGTATTAGAAAGTTGGTCAGAGTAAACCATTTTATAAAAATATGACAGGTTGAATTTTTTTCTTTTTTTTACTTTGGTAAATGCTGAAGATGAGGCTGAAGCAAAATGGACTAGAAAATATATAGTGACAGGAAAATTGTACTGTGAAAAGGTTTCCCACAACAGAGGAATTGTGAAGCTTGGCCAACAATAAGAATTCTTTGACTTTTAAACCACACTGATGGCACTTGTATAATACTCGTCCCTGAGGGACATCTTCAGTGCACACAACTACTTACTGTGACAATCATGGACTCTTCCTGGGGCCTTTCAGTTCCAAAACTACGTAGCATGTACCTTTTTTTTTTTCCCCTTGGACACTTTTTATTTTGGTATCAAAGAGTTGTGAGGAAAGGTTTTTTTCCCCTTTATTTCTATCTCTGGTTCTGCATTAAGATTAAAATAATAGTTGAAATTATAGAAATTTAGGAATTAAAATTCTGCTTCTCAAAATCCATATTATAAAGACATTCCTCTGTGTTTTCTAAATTATCCCATTAAGAGTATATTCAAAACTCTTCATCTAATTGAAGAATACATGTTTTCCCTAAAATAACAGCCAGCTCTCAAAGTAGACTCTTAATAACAACCATATGATAAAACCTACTTCAGAATTCTTTTGTATTATAGTTTAAAAAAGTATGTCCAGTCCTCGTGTCCCATTCTAAAATTTCAGGTTTCAGATACTTTGTAGTATAGTTGTTTACATACTCATTTTATAGCCCCTGCATCAGTATACACTGCTGGAGATGAGGGAATATAATTGTGCATTTCCTGGAGCACCTAGAATAAGGTCTTAAATGTAAGAAGCATTTTATTATTTTTTGAATGTGAATGCATGAAGAGACATGGAATTCTGCATCATGCTGCAGATACTATAACTTGCACACTCTATCATAATGAAATCTATTCAATGGTACAGGTAATATAATATGCGTACTATGTCATAATGAAATCTATTTGAATGCTAAAAATATGACTTTAATTTGTATTCCCTTTATTTAGGCTGTAAAATTTCAGTTGTTATGAGAAGACGTATGTCATAAATGCCAAGGAAATAGATAAGAAGTATATGAGAAATAGGAAAATGTTACAGTCTGTTTTCCAGTGTCCACCAATGTTGAGCTTAGAATTTGAGATGAAAACTTTTTAACCTTCTTTTTGCCCCTCTCATGTTCCATTAAATGTATCTTTTCAAGCTATATATTCTCCTTAGAATCCTGACCACCAGTTCTTTCTCTAGGTGGAAAGTTGATGTGTTAGGAACTTTCTAAAATCAATTTTTCTCTCTGTTAATAATTTACAGTGTTCAGGTAGTGAGAGATGACCATGTTCAATTGAGTGACTTATAGTGACGAAATTTAACTCTTACTTACAGTAGTATTTACAAACAGTTGTAGGGTAACACGAGTCAGCATTATTGGGGATATACTATGAACAAAGGCCTTTGTTTTATATATGTTTTAACATATCATGTATTTTGATATTTTTACAAAGTTTGCTGAAGAATAATATATATACTTACATATATATCTTACATATTTTTATATATATAGTAAAAAGGTAAAACAGAGTCTTTCACTCATAGTATACCCCTAACAACACTGATACATCACCAGTCTATTATATATAAATGCTGAAATATATATATTTCTCCACATGCCTTGTTATACTTACATTTTCCTTTTTGTCTTGCTTTAAGTTTGTACTTGACTAGTCATGTCTCATTTTTTTCTTTTCTTTCCTTCTCCCCACTTTTTTTAAATGATTTGCCCCAAACCTAGTATTTCTTCGCAGAAAACACTTCAGTGTCTGTTCTTTCAGTCCGTCTCACTCTGCCTTGTGAACATCTTTAGTGACAGCTTTCTGTTTACTATGTGTGTGGCTTTCACTCATGAGTCATTCCCCCTAAGAATTTCTTTTGTTTTTATTCCTCTTTCTTAGAAGTAGCTGAATTTGAACAATCATTTGTCTTTAGCTTTTTGGTGAATGGAATAGAAGTAGCTTATACTGTTTGCTGTTCTAACTCATCCAAATAAGATACTGCTAAAAAGTAAACTCTCATATTTCCCCCATGAGAGATCATTCATACATAAATAAATCATGCATGCACATTTCAAAATATAACAGTTACTTTAACTTTCTTAATGTTAGTTTTTTCATAGGACTCTAAACTATCAGGGGTAAGTTTTTGTTCTAGATCATTTTGGTCAAGAAAGTCATCTAATGGATACCATAGTGTTTGTATAATAATCAATGAGCGGTAAAGAAAGTAACATTTTGGGACCCCTGAGGTCATCTCTCATAATCCTCACCCCATGAGAAGGTGTAGGTTGGTAAATGACAGACCCAGGATTTGAATCCATATCTGAATGACTCCAAAGTCAGTGCTCTTTGTGTTAGATCATCTAGGAGTGGGGAATGTTATAATTATTTTATTCAATTTCATATTTGTTGTTCTTAAAGCTGTTATTTTCTTCTCTAGAAAGTCCGGCATCCAAGATTTGCAAAGCTAATTAAGACCTGGGGAGAGCCCACGATAAACAGTAAGTTATTTGAAGACTGTCCTTTTTGTGTTTTCACTGATGAGAAATTATAGAAAATTTCATCTACCATACCTTGTTTTCACTACAGCAGAGACAAAAGATGGTGTTTTGAAACCAGGAACTAGCACCTTCTTTGAGGACAATAACTCTGATAATGAAAATGAAGATGTGGTTACAGCCTCTTCCCAAACATCAACCGAAGTTCCAGGCTTTTCTCATCCTGCCTTCCCAGCACCAGAACCTCTCACGACTTCAGCAGTCCTTGGTGTTACAGAGGTAAGTCATTTTGTTTTTAACTTTTTCTTCCTGTGCTTTTTCACTTACTGTCCCCCTGATTCTCATGGGGATGAAAACGATCCTGCACAGAAATGAAAGTCCTCAAGATCACAATAGAAAACAGTGTGATAACAAGAGAGGTACATGTGCAGGACTGAGATTTGTAAAGGTTGGTGGCAATAAACAGTTCTCAAATGTGCCATTAAGAAAAGAAAGAATAAGAATAAGAAAGCAACAGGAAAGAACAGCTGGATGAATATGAAGATGGGCAGGGGTACAAAGGGGAAGGGTTCCTCTAATAAGGATAAGACGAATATAAAGATAAATGAGTGTCAAAATGAGAGAGATTATTATACAAGCAGCAGAAATAGTGGGGTTAAGTGAGAGCAGGAACTCTATAGTACAAATTATAATAGAAATTATCTCAAATTCAAATTAAGAGAAGGGAAAGTCAGGTCATGGAAAAAAGTGCTCAGACTCTTCTGAAGGACATATAGCTGATTTAATGAACAACGGAAAGAAAATTTGATCCTCATCTTTTTTCTTTTTGGTTATAGAAGTTTTTTTTTTTAATTCAAATATAGTTGCTATACAGTATTGTACGAGTTACAGGTGTGCAGTAAAGTGATTTGGTTATACATATATGTGTATATATCTCTTTTTCTTTTCCATTATAGTTTTTTATGAGATATTGAATATAGTTCCCTATGGAAGTTAGTTTTAACTTGAAGTTATCTCTTTTTTTAGAAATCCTCACATTTAAATTAATGAAGTAATGTCTTATATTTAATCTAGCAAATTTTGTCTCTCCATTCCATCCCCAGTAACTGTGTTCTAGTTTTCCATGTGACGTTCTCATGCTGTTTCACACCTGGCCTTTGGCTCAAGCTGCCCTTTTTAAAATCCCCTTCACATCTGCTCTTTGCACTGGGTCTGTCTTTTAAGACACAGTCTGGTCTTCCCAGCATTCCTGGAGCTATTGACATGCAACAGGTCTCTTCTCTCCTTTGTGCCCTTACTGTATCTGTTCACTTCAGGTGTAGAGCTGCTGAATGATACTTGTCTGTGTTGATTCATTTTCATGTGTCTCTACCTCCCCTGGAATGTAGAGCAGGATCTGTCTTTTATATATATTGCCAGCTTCTCCCAGGATAATGCCTATGATTTGATGGATACATTAAATATATGTTGTCTTCCTGATTAATTGATTGAATGACCAAGTGTAGGAATATGATGTTTTCTGAAGCTGGGTTTTTGTTACATCTTGTTTTGTTTTTATAGGAAGAAGCAACAAAGCAAAAAACTGGGGGGAAAGAGAACAGCACTCGGACTATTAACAGTGTTCTAAAGGAGCAAGCAGATCATAGCACATTGGTTTCTGTTGATGGAGCACACAAAAGTGACAGAGGTGGGAAGTCAGTGAGCGTCTATGGATTTTCTTCTCTGCTTACAAGCTAGTGTGGTTGGAGGGGGGAGGGTATAGCTCAGTGGGAGAGCACACGTTTAGCATGCACGAGGTCCTGGGTTCAATTCCCGGTACCTCCATTAAAAAAAAAAAGTTAGCATAAAAAATCTCAAGTGTGTAGATCCAAATTTGATATCCATTTCTTCTGAAGTGTTTTTCTTTTGCCATCTTCCTTCATAAATATCCCAACTATGACCAAGTTTTCTTCCAGAAAATGCTTCAG